AAAAAAAAAAAAATTTATGAATTCTCATACATATAAAGAAAAGAACTTTCCAATATATCATTTCCTACCTAGAATTCTTGGTTTAAGTAAGGTGCTTTATTTACATGGCTGTATTTCAGGGGCCTTAGAAGACAGTCTTTTATGTTTTAATTCACTAATACGGATTTTCATTTTTGGGGCAATGAATATAACATGGAACATCCCAAAATGACAGAAGCATCATGCCTAAAAAGCTCAATAGTCAATCAAGCAGACAATTCAACTCCATCTACAACAAAGCTGGATAGTGGAATACTACTATTCTATTTCTAGAATTAATATTTTGGAGTTGCATCCATCCCAAGTCTATAAACAGATAATACTCACTCCAAATTGCCCATGTGATGAATCACAAAAATACAGAGTTAGAGAGAAAAAATGCAGTTCATAATGGCGTTTCAATGTCTGCACAGCTTAACACTGGCATCATAATGACTATAATCCCATTTCATTTGCCTGAATAATTCCAAGTCTATAATGAAGGTAGTACTAACCAGTTTAATCAATTCATCATTAGTCAGCCACCCCATCAAAAACACATATAATAATAATTAAATCCTCTCTTATACGCACCTGTGAATCAAGAAATGTGCAAGCAGCTTCCAAAGCAACTTCAAGAGCCCTAAACTCAAAGGGTAAATAATCAGGGGATGTGTTCCCGAAAACATTGTCAAAATTCCTACTTCGTCTCCGGTTCGAATCAGCCGCGTCTGATTGCCAGACATCACCGACTCCAGTCGTTGTCAGCCGTTTTTGCAGCTCAACCACATACTGTAGAACGTAACTGTCGAGGGAATTTAAGAGGAGTACCTCATCAGCGGTGATGATGCACCTTATCTGCTCCAAATTGACCACGATAGCCTTCTCTCTACCGAGAATCGTTGATGGATAAACAAACAGAGGATCGAGGAGGCGTAGATCACGCGCAGGAAGATCGCAACGACGCATCATGCTAAACTTGTCGACTTCAATAACTTGAGAGTTTCCAGTGGCATCAACTCGAATCCAAGATCGAAGACCTTGCCCCCGCTTCTTCAAGGCATCCATTCCCTGAAAAGTGTGACGTGAAGAGCCTGACGACCGGAAACCATGATCTCTAAGGTTGACCGCCGACGCTGGTTTGGGCGGAAGCAGCCGCTCCTTGAGGTCTGCCATTGATGGCATGCTCCGTAATTCTGAAACACAAAATAGAGTTAATAAAAAAAAAATTAATTCAGAGAAGAATTAACGAATTTACCTCCAAACAGAGAAATTAAAATTTCAAAACTGCCCTTTCTGAGTTGGGAAGATTAAATGAATTAAAAAAAAAAAGATTTAACAGGATAAAAAAAAAAAGAATACAAATCAAGCATAGCGCAGGATAGTGCGAATACTCAAGGATGAACGCTGCAACATTTCTTGAAAGGAAACTAAACAATGTTATACAGATAGACACTTGAATCACCAATGATTCCTAGTACTTTAGTAGGATTCAAACATAAAACATACAAGATTTAGACTAGTGCCAAAGCTAAAATAAAAAGCTAATTAGCAAAAAAATGAAAGGAAAGTTTGTGAAGAGAATACATGTTGATCACTTCATCAACAACTCAAATAGCCCTAACTCGGTTAACCAGATTGAAGCAAATGTGATAACCAACACCCTCAAACCGACAAATCTCTTCTCCAAAACCATTGGAGTAGGGGAATTTGATGATGTCCCATTGGAAGAAGCGGAGGGAGATGGTCCTGGAGGCAGGGCCTGGACAAGAACAGAAACTTTCATGCCATTGTAGCATTGGCCATTACCACAAATGAAGTAATACCTCTGGGACTTATTCAGAGGTATAAAATCCTTGCCACTGCTCCAATTCCCTATTGCTCCTTCTGTGGTACAGTTGTCATAGCCAGTTTGGTTCACTTCAAACACATTATATTGTGTCTTTTGGTACCTAAATGCTGCAAGAGGGGGTGATGAAAATATCATATAAGAACAGAGAGCTAAAGCACAACATCTGCGCTGCTTATTGCCAATGAGTTTGCATCATTTTCCAAGGTAAAACCATAACCTAATATGTAAATACAATGTCCTCGCAGTCCTAAGTTGAAACTCCTCCTTCCTCAAATCATATAACCAAACAAAAAACCAAAGAAAGAAATTTCATCATGAAGAATTCTTACTTACATGGTAAAGATCACCAACTCAATAAATTTTGTTAGCAAACTACCAAAACAAAGTTTTATCGTGTCTTCCGGTGCCTAAATGCTCTAAGCCAGGAAAATAGGAAAAATTCTGAAAAATAGCTAATTAAAGAGTGCATTGTTACCAAATGCCAAATAACAGATTCTAACTAACGACATTTTCCATATTCCCCACATTGGGATCAACTCCTGTTTATGTTCTTTCAGAGATCCAACACTGAAATTTATAAATGGCAAGAGAAGAGCATACCAACTGCTAAATGCAACTTCACAATTAACAAATTATTTCTACTTCATTAAATCTTCCTGTCATGCCTTTAAAAGCAAATAATGTGAACTGGGTCCGGATTTAATCACAAAAAAAAAGAAAAAGAAAAAGAAAAAAAGAACAAAACCTATGCATTCAAAGGAAACACATTGTTAATTTCTGTTAAGCAGGCATTTGGATTACATGGGTACTTGCTACCTGGTAGCATTGTTTAAATCCACAGTGAGATTCAAAACTAATCAAAGTTTTCTCAACACCCATCTTTAAATTTTCTGTCTTTCCTCTAATAAATCATTCAAAAGTACATATTTAGAACAGAGAATATACTAAAAAAGAGAGGAGGAGAGAGAGAGTTACAAATGAGGTCGCCGACGACGAAGGTCTGGTTGTTGGCCCAAAGGGTATAGTTCATTCCGGGATTCCAGCCCTTGTTGGCACCAACAATGTGGTCGGTGGCGGAGGCGGTAGCGAAGATCAGCGCGAAGCAGGAGAAGATGAGGAAGGTAGAGGCAGAGGCGGACATTGTTGGAAACTCCGTGCTTCCTTTTCTGCTTCTACTACTAATTTTTTGCTACTATACTGAATACCGACATTCATACTTTTATTTGACCAATGCTTGACTGTTTGGGGATCCAAGATTATTCTAGTGATCGTGGGACCCACCTTGTACATTTGATGCCCAATACTCATGCAGGATCCAAAGATGTCTCCCCAAGATCAATTTCATTTGGATATAATAAGAAAAGAAATTTGGGTAAATTGGTAAATAATATGAATCAAATTGAGGATTTGTATAATGGTTTAAGGATTAAATTAATTTTTTTTAATTTAAGGATCAAATTAGAGGTTTGTATAATAGTTCAGGATCAAATTGAGGATTTAACAAAAAAAATTGAGAGAAAAAAAGGAGGAAAATTTCATTTTGAATTAGAATCCTTGTTTTAATAGTTTAGTGTTTACTATCTAAATTGTATCAAATTATAAAATAAAAGTCATTTTTATTTAATGGTTATAGTTTTATAATTTGTTATAATTTGAATTATATTATACTTTTTCTTTAATTATTAAGAAAATTAAAATAAAGATTAATTTCATTTTGAAATTTGTTTTTTGAATTATATATATTTTT